AGCATGACCCACTTTTTCTATAAATCATGGGTACTTATGAACAATTATTTGAACAACCTAGAAAACATCCTCAAACTGTCAGAAGTAGTTTCTAGAATAATGATCTTGGTTTTTAATTTTTAATTATATTTAGTGTTTGTTTATGAGTGTGAATATGCCCATGTATGGAGGTCAGAACATGCCTTGTAAGAAGTCTCTCCCTTAAACCATGTGAGTCCCAGAGGAAACACTAAGGTTGCCAGGCTTAAAAACAGATTAGTACCCATTGTGACATCTCATCGCACAATGGACTTTCCTGACAAAATAAATTAGATAAAATCCAGAAAACTTGGTTAATGACTCTAATAACTTGCTAATGTAAGAAAATTATTACATTTGAAATGTACACAACCATTTAAGAATGCTATCTTAGAAACGATCTTATAAAACATTCTATTAAATACTTCAAGACAAAATTCCACCTATATTCTATTAAAAAATACTTAGCTGTAACATTTTATAAATAATAGTCACAAAATACTGTACACCCTTAAACAGTTAAAAGGGGCACAGCTATAAAAACAAAACAAGGTTAACTTTAAAAATCAAAGCTTTTATCTATTAGTTGTGTATGGTTTTTCAGTTGAAAGCTCAAATGGTGCAGGTGAATTCACCCAAGGAGATAGGTAAGCAGGCTTCCATTCAGCAGACTTTTGTCTGAAACAAGGGAATGAATGTGTTACTGCACCTTTAAACCTGAGAGACAGGGACAATGCCACTCATTAGCTCTTAAAGCTGATACATAGCCTCAATCAAGGTATTGCAGACAATGAATGATATGGGCTGGTGCTATCCTGGAATGACAGGTAGACCCCTACATACATCCTCCTTCATATCAAGCAGGATTCTAACTAAAACTGCTGAGCCTGCAAACTTGCAGACAGATTTGACTGATCTAGCTTCTTCAACTCTAAAAAATGTCAACTGTGGGAGGATTTGACTAAATAGAATGAGGAGGTGTGAGGCAGGAATTCGCAGGCTTGGATACTTTGTTCCCTCCTGTTTAGGACAGGGAAAAGCCCATAGATGTGTAGATTGGTAGGCTTCCTTTGCCACTATAATGGCTATCATCCCACAAAAATGATACATTAAGTGCCCATAGGATGCTCTAGCATCGGTTACCCCAAAAGTCATCAGAGAAGCTTCACTCAGTAACTGAGGTAGAGATCCAAAGCCAAACATTAGGCTGAGCTCGGGGAAAACTGCTGAAGAGAGGGAGGAAGGAGTTTATGAGCAAGAGTGGTCAGGACATTGCAAGAAAACCCACAGGATCAACCAACCTGGACTCAGATGTTCACAGAGTCTCAACCAACACTGCATGAGACTGGCAGAGGCCCTCCACATATGTGACAGTGTATGGCTTGATCTACTTATGGGCTCCTAACAGTGGGAGTAGGAGCTGTCTGTCCCTAACATCTTGTCTGGCTTTTGGGAACCTATTCTTCACATTGAGTTGCCTTGCCCATCCTTAATATATACTGCAACTTGATATGCTCTGCTTTGTTGATACCCATGGGAGGCTGCCCCTTTTGGAACAGAGATGGGGAGGGGGAGGGCACAGCAGAGAAGTTAGGGGGGAGTGAAAGGCGAGGAGAGAGAAGAAACTGCAGTCAGGATGCAAAACAAGTAAATTTAATTAGGAAAATTAGCAAATAGCTATGTACAAATCACAATTCTGTTCTATTACTTTCTCTCCCTAAACTGCTTTTTCTAGTACCTGAACTCTGTTCAAAAACAGTTTTCTATTAGAAAACCTAAGATTAAGTCCTTGAGGAAGAATTAGAAATTATTATCAAGTACTCCAAAATACCTAAAATATTCCTGAGTATTTATTTATGTGTCATAATCATGTGACAGGTTGTAGTCACAAAGTAAGTGAACAACACAAAGCTGTACACAACTACCTTCACGTTGTAAAAGAAAGGTAATACAAAACAGGCGAATTTCATGTTTAGATTAGGGTCCTATCTCTAGTACATATCTCATATTCCAATTTTCAAATCCACCATTAGAAGATTTCTGATGAGAAATAATCTGTATGATAGTATGACTCATGAGTATATCTGTTCTTCATTTTTTGGCAACAGAGCTCTCATTTAGGCTCTGTATACTAATGGGGTAATAGATGACTAAAGGTTATGGGCCAGTTCTAGAATGTGAGTGGGTTGCCAGGAAAATCAACATCATTTTAACTGAAAAGGTTGACACTTTCAGGTAGGTAGGTAGGTAGGTAGGTAGGTAGTAGGAAGGAAGGAAGGAAGGAAGGAAGGAAGGAAGGAAGGAAGGAAGGAAGGAGAGAGAAAGGAATAAAGGATAACTTTACCACCAATTACCCAAAGACGCTTCATAAAAATGAGAATTCTTATGCATCTCAACAACCAGAAAAGCCTGGAAGGTGTCCCTCCCAGAAGATCCCATGGGAACTCTACCTTACCCATGACTTATTCTAGGCATTCATCTGTATCCCTTAAGTATCCTCTAACAGCAAACTGACAAACCTAAATATTATTCTAGGTAGAATTCTCCAGCAAATTAGAGAGGGACTAGAAAATGGCCTTAGAGCTGAACGGGGACCACAGATGGGGCTGTGTTTGCTTCTGCAGTGCAGTTCACTTCTTATGACTTCTGTGATCTGATATAATCTCTAGATAGTGCTCAGGTTGAAGCAAATTATATAAGAGTAAATTTAAATTGCTCCTAAGAGACCTTACTGCTGATTAATATCAGGGGTCCTCGAGGGTTTCGAGTATAAAAAAATAACTTGTTTTCTTCTCAGCCTTAAGAAGTCAAACAAAAGTTAAACATTTAAACCCATGCAATAATAAGGAAGCATGAAATAAAATGGGTTACATTAGCTTCTTAAATTCAAATGTTGCAGTATTTCTGCAGCTGTTGCTGTTGGAAACAGCTTCCAGTTAAAAGGTGGCACATCAAACAACACAGTACGGCTTCGATTCAAGGTCTGACTCCCACTTTTTTGGAATGTCGACTCTGGCCAATCATTCAACCTCCCTGACAGAAGTTTCCTCAGCTACAAAATGTATATAATAAAACCCAGATTATTTGAAACAAATGTGTGTCAAATACTGAGAACAGAGCCATTGCGAAAAACGCAGAATTAAATCAGAAGACATTACATAAAATAGCTGTTTTTCAGTTACAAAAGATTTTCTAACAATGCTGTTACCACAAACACATTCAACCAGAGATACACACAAGTGGACATATACATGTATCCACACATTTGAGCAAATGCATGCATACACACATGCACACAATATACACACAAAAAATTACAGAATTATTGCACCATAAACAATGAGATAATCAAATATGCCACACAACTAGGATTATGAAAACATTATGATGATAAAAAAATGTATCCATTAATTTCACACATAATTCACGTAAGAAGGCATTCAAGTTAGTAGATTCATCTATAGCATTTTTAGAAACATTCAAAATGCATTTTGCAGCTAAGCTCATTTTCAGGTGTTTTTATTTATTTTACTATTGTTGTCTACACATGTATAATATATATGAGAAAAACACACTTTACATGTGATGTACCATGCACACATATATAACATGTATAATCTTAAAGGTTTCATATCTAAAAAACAATAAAATAAAATAAAATGTGGGAACAGTTTCCACCATTAAGGTTAAGAATTAGAAACTCCCAACATTCCTACAATGATATGGAACACTCAAACGTGACCAGACAGACAACAGGAAATGCTATCATTTACAAAAGTAAAATAATTGTAGAATTTTCTTTTGTTGCATAATCATCTTCACCAGCCTATAGTAATGGATCAGTATGTATCCCTAGTATAGGAATGGACTTTGGGAGCCCATCACACATTGATGATACTTTCTAAGCCTAGACACATGGGGGGAGGGCCTAGACCCTGCCCCAAATGATGTGACAGACTTTGAAGACTCTGCATGGAAGGCCTCACCCTCCCTGGAGAGCAAAAAAGGGATGGAATGGGGTTTGGCAGGGGTGATAGGGAGGATGGGAGGGTGAGGGAACTGGGATTGACATGTAAAACAACCTTGTTTCAAATTTAAGTTAAAAGCAAAACAAAACAAAATAAAATAAAATCACCCTTTTGAACAAGTTGAGAGATGGCTCAACTGTTAAAGCTAGGCTCACAACCACAAATATGAGAATAACAGTTTTAGCCAATAGTAACAGCACTCACAGTATTTAAAAATCACATTTTTGTTTCTTTTTAATTCCTACAGAAATTTTAACATTCTACCTCATAATATCCTGGATAAAAGGAACTAGGCAAATAAAATCTCCCTAACAACAATATTTAAAGCAAATAGATCAGCATCAAATGATTCAAAACAATCCCTAACAGTTCTCTCTCCCTCCTTTCCCTCCTCCCCTCCCTCTCTGGATCTCACACAAAGTAACAGAAGAGGTAGTAGTGTTAAAAATAGAAGGCAGACACCCATGTGGCCAGTCCCGTTCCGGCTTTCGGAGCTGAGCACGGTGCCACACCTGCAACCCCAGCCATCTACACAAGTGAGGTTAGGTAACAAGTGTGAAGGTGCAGGGGGCTGGGACGTGAGACCCCATCTAAAACTTAAAGACGTGGCGACTGATGTAACTCTGGCACAAGTCACAACAACAAAATGCCATTTCAGTTTCGTTTTGTTTTTCAAGCTTTTAGTTGCGTATTTTTACATAAACACATAAGTCAAATTCTTCTTGGCAGTTTCTAAATTATAAGCAGCAAAGCAGGCTATCATGCTACATAGAGTAGCAGAAACTTAAACACTTCAGTACTTGAATTAAAATGGTAACAAGGAGACAGGCATAATGTCTTAAAATAATTTCAAAGTTCTCAATGTGAGCATCATACTCAATGTCTATGAGACATGAAACTTGATTATTAAGGAGCAAGAATGCTGGAAGACACGCCCCTTTATCAAAGACTTACCTTCTTTTTATCCCTCATTGAGCCTTTGCCTCGGACCATTATTTTACATCCTGTTTCTGCTTCAAGTTGTTTAGCGGTAAGTCCTCTGGGTCCAAGGATTCTCCCAACAAAATTAAACTGTGGGAAAAGACAGTATATTATTCCACTGCTAAAAGCTGTTTCATATACATTTGCTTACTCTGAACATGAACCAAGGAGAAGCGAAGCCTAGAACTCATTAATTTCTTGCCAAATGAGATGCAAGTAATTGCAATTTCACCATGTATTAACACAAACTATAACCAGCTAAACAAAGGTAGTTTATTGAGTTATTCACCAACACATAATTTAGGTCAGAGTGATCCTCTCTACAAAAATAAATCTGGTCCTTTAACAATACTTGGTTAGAGTCCCGTCTTTACTTTTGTAAAAGGAAAATTCTACCTCCAGAGGCAATTGTGTAAGTGACGATTCCATATTGCTGCTAGAACATTAATGTTCAAACTAGGATTCTATTCTGTGCTAAGTATACAACTTGAATACACTTTTTAAAATTATTTTTCTTTAAACGATTTTATTATGGATCCTTATTTGCCTTTCTTCCATTCATTTCCACTTTTAACTTATACTTCTAAAAGTTTAGGCATGGACTCTGTATTTTCTATGAAACACAAATGACAAATGTAATTGTATAACCACAACTTAAGCATCGCTCAACAGAAACTTCTATTATTCATATTTACAAAAATTAATGGTAACTATAGAGGGCATGACTCTATTCACCAGGTAGCAACTAGCTTGCTGTAAGCATCCTGTTAACACTACATATCAGCCTCACACACCTTAAATTTACCACATCTCATAGCTGATCAACTTGTACCGCCCAGGTCTGCAGTATATGTTATATGTCCATACAACAACAAAATTGTCAAACCGCTCACTCCTTAGGACATACCAAATCGTTAAGGTAAACACAAGTACACATGTTAGAATTTTGTGCTTCCTATCCCATTGCTCTATGTATTCTTACTACCTCATAATGTGGTAACTAGTGTAACTGAATTCAAGAATATCTTAAGTATTCCAGGCCATTTCCATTACTGAGTATATCTCACTGACTTCTGGATTCTAGGTAACCTAAGTATCTTCCCATGCTTCTTCAGATCAGAGGTTACAACTCATCTTTTTAATGTTAAACCAATGTAACATTACAGAAATAGACAAAACTTGAACATTATGCACACTTTCTTTTTATATCCTACTAGATTCAGTTTCCCTACATGGTTTTTGTTTCTAATATTTTTTCTTATTTTACATATCAATCCCGGTTCCCTCTCCCTCCTACCCTCCCATCCCCAGCCCTAGGCTAAGGGAGTTTCAGTCTGTGTTCCCAACATTTTGCTGGCTCATCTGAAAACAACCACACTCACAAGGCCACAGCACTGATTCAGCAGATAGCACTGCTGCTGTCCCATAACCGGGTTCCACTCCCAGCACTCACAGGGCAGCTCACACCTGCCTATGGTCCCGTCCCTGGGACGCAAAGCCCTCTTCTGGTCTCTCCAGGGCCAGGCGTGCATACGGCACACAGATAAACATGCATACCAAAAAAAAAAATCATATACATAAAAATAGAAATGAATAAAATTTTAAAGATAAAAATACAGTCAAGGACGGAACTTATCTGTGATTTTTCTTCTCTCATAATGAGGACTTCAAGTTAAGACATTAAGGTTATTGAGGCCTCCAAACATGTAGGAATGTTTCCAACTCTGGATGAGCTTATAATGAAACTAATACTATTTTTTTCTTAAATACCAATTAGAATTCACTGCCTTAGTGTTATCAATTTTGATGTGCTGTGGTTGTCTTTCTTTCCCTAGATATTCAAATTTATAAGCTAAAATTTATTTTTAAGTATTTGTTAATACTCAGTGTTTATTTTTTTTTTATGTGTGAGTATTTGCCTGCATTTACATCTATACACCATGTTCAGATCTGGCGCCTGGAAAAGGCCAAAACAGCTACAGAGAGTTGTGAACCACTATGTGGGTGCTGGGTCTCAAATCCAAGCTCTCTGGAAGAGCAGCAAGTACTGCTTCCTACCCACTCACGAAGCCATCTCTCCCCAGCCCTACAATGAGGATTTCTCATTCATGGCTATCTAGTCTACCAGTCTTCCAAGACATCAATTGTTAATTTTTCTCACTGGAGTAGAGCGTTTAAAACAAACAGAAAAATCTATACCTCTCCATGCCTAATTATATTCTTTTTATTTGCAATATAAATGTGTATTTGTTGACCTCTAGAATTTACAATAACCCTGAATTGTTTTGAAAGTACAATGTGATGGAAAGGACCGCCTAAAGGGCCAAAAGCTGACTGCAGACACAACCACAGTTCCCTAGTGAAGGCCATCACAAAGGCAGAGAGGCGCTCCGTCGAAGATTCACAGAAGCTGCCGTTTGTGGGTTTCCTTATTAAACTGACACTTTGGTTCATTTCATTTCATACATTCTTCCTTTAAATATCTATCCTTAGCTTTTCATTTCTTTCCTTTCTTTCTGTTAAGGTTTAATCTGCTGGTTTTCCAAAAATGAAACAGATACTTCTTTATTGCAAGCCTCCCACATGCTACAAAATACATGATTTTTTCAAAGACATTAAGAATTCCCCCATTATCTTTGGTTTAATTTCTAGATGTGTGTGTGTAGGTTATGTATGTGTATAGTTATATAGTACACACACACACTAATTATCAACATTTGTTCAGACCTGATTTTCAACACAGGATATAGTCAATAAAAATAAAAACTGTGATTGTGCGCCCTTGCATGCGCACAAGTGCATGCAAGGGAGTGTGCAGGTGACAGCTTTGAGTGTCAGCAAAGAGATACCTAGTCTTAAGCTGGAAGGCCTGTGAATGTCAAAAGATTCTATTCTATTCTCTGCAGAAGTATTGGGATTAAAGATGAGGTCTTCGCACAACTCCACATGGCTCTGGGGTTTTAAACGTAGGCTCTTATACTTGCACAACAAGCATTTTACTTACAAAGCCATCTTCCCAGCCCCCATGAACACATTTTAGCATGTTATGTAATACTTTGTATGTTTGACCTGCATCATATATCCAATCAGTTGGTCTACCCTACCATTTGTCCACTGAGAGGACAAAACCTTACCCTTCTGACATATTAAACCTTTTCTGCTGCAACTATAGCCATGAGACTATAAAGAAAAAAAGAAACTAATTCTTACAACTATTACTTTAAAAATTGTTTGCAAAACAGATAAAACAGAAATATTGAGTCTGTGAGATAAAATTTTCTTAACCTCAGAAAGCAATTACTATTGCACCCATGAACCAGAGTTCAAGTACACTAAAGCGCATACCATAAGGGTTCTAATGCAATTGGAATTGTCAAGGTCATCCTTCTTAAAGTGCTGTAAGCGGAGAATGAAAACAAAAATTAATCATAGCAGTTGCTTTGTCTATTGCAACCAATTTCCAGGTTAATGTGCTATGCCTTGCATTAAAACTCGTTCTGTGTTGATTTATCATGCCAGTTCTGCAGCTTCATTCAATTAAAACAATGTCACTATGCTTTAAAAAAGAAAAACCATTTCAAAGAGTCTGAGCTAAGAGCAACTTGAAAAGCCAACAGAAGGGGGAAAAAAAAGAGAAAAAAGTAAAAGATATTCATTAACCCTACTGTTTAAATATAGACCTTAGCTGCTGTTCACCAATTATAGTTCTACCAAGCGGCATGTTAATTTTTAAAAGTTTAACAGTTATGTCTAACTAATATTATTCAATTTGCTCACTACATTTTAAATACAAATCATGGATTTTTCCCAGTGACAAAATGCAAATTATGAAAACTACAAGAACCTCCTTAAATGAGTACAATTAAAAACAAGAGACCTCCTTGTAAGATATTACCAAAATAAATGACAGAAAAAAACCGCACTTTTAAAAGCATCTCAAAAACACTTTTAAGAATTACTGGACAGTAATCTCTGCTTAAAATTCTGAAATTAAAAATAAAAAGTTATAAAAGAACATGAAAATTTTGGGTTACTTTTTAAATTTTGGGTTTTGGGGGGGGGGATTTTTGGTGAGACAGGGTTTCTCTACATAGCCCTGAACTCACAGAAATCTGCATGTCTCTAAATTTTGTACAAGAGGTAATTAATGGGGGGGAGGGGGGCAACGTCTGGATAGATGGCTCAGCAGTAAAGAGCTAATATAATTCTTTCAGGACCTGAGTCTGGTTTTCAGCACCAAGGTCAGGCTGCTCCAAACTACATCTAATTCCAACAGGGACGCAGACATACTCTTCTGGGCTCTAAGAGTTATCTTGGCAATGCTGGAAATTAAACTAAGTCCTCACAAATGCTAGGCAAGCACTGCCTACTGGGATATATTCCCAGCCCTAAGTCTACCAATTCCGTAATTGTAACGAGGTATTTACTAATCCTTACATCATACCAAATAATCAACAGAGTAGGCATTAAGCCTACTCAGTCAAAAGTATGTATGTGTGTATGTGTATGTATGTATGCATGCATGCATGCATGCATGCATGCATGTATATGTACTTGTTACATAAAACAGAATAGGGTCATCTCTAATTTAGGCAACAAAAGAAAACTTATTTTGGTTAAATATTTACCAAGGTTAAAACTTTTAGCCAAAAATACCTAATATATCAAGATGTAATGGGGGGGGTTTAACCTGCTTATAGATTCATGTTAATTCTAGACAAGTAGCCAAGGTCTCCTGGAGAGAAGGTCACTTTACATTACATATAGTAACCATGTAACAAACCAATCCTATATGTCCCATGATTTACAAGTGGTATGCAATAAAATGCTTCTTACAAAACTACAAGAAAAGTCACTCATACCAACTGCTACTACAAAAAGAAATTGCTAAGTACTTGAAAACAAGATTTTAAATTGGCACATGAATTAAGATATGTCAAGTTAAGGCAAATCTTCACTCAGTAAGATGCAAAAACCACCCATAAGTGAGTAAGACATGTGCTTGTCCTTTTTAGGAGCAAAATACGTAGGTTAGAAAATAAAATTGAAAATACAAGGTTTTATGCCACAAGCAGACAGTATCTACGACA